GGAGACAGTGTGATTGGCACAGGACAAAGCAGAGTTTAGGGGTGTTGTACATAGGGTCGCTATGAGTCGCAAGCAACTTGACGGCACATAACCCCACATGATGTTGTAGCCAACCCTCTTACTCTGTTGTGCTTTTTATTCCCAGTTGCTGGTAGGTAAAGCTGCTCCAGGTGGCTACAGTCCAGACGCATGCACACCTGTGGCCGATGGATGCTGTGATCAGTGGCATAGGGAAAGCACTGCCTCTGAACTCCTGGAACCACGTGTATCTGTGAGGCTAGCTGGTGATAGGAAGCTTGTCCATGTTGAGATACTGGGGGCGTTCTGAGTTGAAGCTGGCTTGATGGTACCAAGTGCAGCAGCATTTCCCTGGGGTTTATCTTGTTAGGCGTGAGCCATGCATGCTTTTATAAATGTCTACTCTCTTTTTCATCTTCTGTCACTTGAGGAGTCCTTGTGTTGCAGTGGTTTAGCCATTCATCCGCTAATCAAGGTTGACCAGCTGAAGCTACCAGCTTCTTGAGAAAAAGACTAGGAGAGAGATTTACCAACTCCAGAGCCCGTAGGCTGGGTCTGCCCTTTCCTACAGGCTGCGCTGCGTCAGAGCTTACTTGATGCAGTGGGTTAGGTTTGATTTTTCTGTCGGGTCAGTGGAATTTTTCTTAGCATTTTGTAAGAGTTTTACAAATACACTGCTTCCTTTAAATCAGCCCTTTGTAGGTCTGCTATCAACTTTTGAAAGAGGAAAATGAACCACATCTGCATTGCAAAGCCCCCCCACCCACCCACTACTTACAAACTGAAAACTGTTTGCTTTGATAGTCTCCTCAGAGACAAGACAACAGCAGCATGGGCTGCAGACTCTAGATAGTACAGACAGTAAATATTTCAGCTCTATGCACCGTGTCATCTCTACACAACCGGTCCAACCCTGGGGTGAGAAAGCAGACAGCACGGTACGTTCATGTTCCCATAAAAGTTACATGGAACAGCATGTGTTCCAACAAAAGTTCAAAACCAAAGTGGGTTGCATGTGGCTGACCCCAGTATATACTCCCCTTGAGCATCTCCTGCAGATCTCGTACCTCAGATGTTAAAGTGTCAGACACTTTTCAGAGCTGCACATGACATGAGGTTGCTACAGGGCACACGGGAGACTCCATGGTGTGGAAACCAGCAAATCTGTATGTTGTGCTTATGTGCCATGGACTTCGCTCGGCCTCAGCCTCGCTACTGTCTGGACAGTCTTGGGGTGAGCCCGTTGCTACAGCCACTGTGCCAGTCCCTTTCCCTGAGGGTATTTGTGACCTTCACTGACCCTCAGCTTTTCCAAGCATAACGCCCTCCTCCAGAGACTGCCCACTCCCCATAACATCCCTGAGGTTCTTGTGGCCCTGCCAGATAAACATGAACTAGCAAAGCACGCCCGTGGAGGCGCAGGGAGCAGCACAGTGGGTAAGAGCGGACTGTGTCCGGTCCACATGCCTGTGTACACAGGCCGGCAGTGAGTGAGGGTGGCTCAGGAAGTGCCAGCTATGTTGATGAGGAGCAGAGAGCGTACAATGGGCTCTCAGAAGAAGGGCCAGATCTGCTCTTTTGGATCTTGTTCTTTGGAAGAAGTCCAGCCAAGGCGCTCTTCAGAAGCCAGGACTCGGTCTCAAGCACTCCGGGCACGTGGGTCAGGTATAGACCATGAACAAGTGAGGACAGACTGCCTAGGCCCCTGGGCTCCAGCTGTGGCCCCATTCATCACTCAGGCCCTCTGTTCGCTTAGCTGGGAAGTGATACAAGTTAGCACCTCCCTGGCAGAAATTTTTTAAGATGTAAATGGGGAACTCTGAGAGTGCACTAGCCCTCCATCACCCATACAGGCACTCCTCCTGTGGCACTGTGCAGATCTTATTTTCTGCATTGAAGGTTTGGAGCAACCCTGCCTTGGGGCACAGAGTTTGTTGTACTGGGCTGCTAACCAAAAAAGTCAGCAGTTCAAATCCCTCAGCTAGTGTAAGGAAGAAAAATGGGCAGTCCTTCCAGTAAGACTGCAACAGGCTTTTGTCTACTGCACATTTAAGTTTACAGTCTGGTGTCAACCCAGCTGTCCATGCAGCACAACATTCTTGTGACTTGCTGGATTTCGGTTTTACTTTACTGTGGCGGTCTGGAGCTGTGCGGGGCTATCTCTGAAATCTGCCTGCTTGTCTACCTGGATCCTGGGCCTTTCTCCACCCTTGTTCCAGAGAGCAGCAACGGGAAGTTGGCTGCAGAGGCAGGTCCAAGCAGGCAGAGGGCAGTTAAGTTTGGTGGAGGGAACCCTGGGGAGAAAGGGGGACAGTCTATAACATTTACAGCCTATGGGGCAGTTCTGCTCTGAACTACAGGGTGGCTGCAAGTTGGCACTATTTGGCCATGTCTGAATACATGCATGGTGCTGGTGGGTGGAAAACAAGCATGCAGCAGATTCATTTGATTCTTTAGATTTGCCCTGGGTACCTGGACTTATTCCCTTCTGTGAACCTAACAAACCCAGCTGTCCATGGTGCTAAGGACAGCAGGAACGAAGAACTGCTTTTCTGCAGTGCCTCGTCTCCCACCTAGCTGCAGTCAGGCTGACTACTAACCCTGGAGAGGTAAAGGGCCTTCAAACCAAACTCCTCCCCATCCAGGACCACAGTACCCCTGAGTCAAGGACCCGCCATGGAGGAAGGCTGAGAACTCCCCCACAGAGGGCTTCCCAGGCTTCCAGCTTCCAGCAAGCTGCCTGGGAGGTCGAACTGGCCACTATTCAGTCAGCTGCCCAGGGCTTGAACTCTGTGACACTAGGGCTTCTTTCCAGGGCTACACCCATCACTGTTTCTGTCACTCAGTGGACCTGTTAAGCAGGTTATGACCCCAAGTCTGGTTTCCAGGGTCATGTGAGCCAAATGCCAGATAAGGAGACCATTGCAGGGGCTGTTTTAGAGGAAAACCCGGTAACCTCTGCAGTTTCTAACAGTCAATTAATGTAGTTTATTCTAGCATGCTGTGTAAAAGGGAAAAGAAAGGCAGAGTGAGCGAACTGGACAGCTGGCAGGGCAGCAAATCCCAAGACTCCTAATAACTGCATCTTACACTTTTGAGAGATTTATACAAGTTACAATACTGAAATTCATTTACATCAGGGCCACTTCTTCCTGGTTTCTTAGACCCTTTGATATGGGTAGCAAGCCTATGCCTCCATCTTATTTAGAGAAGGTCTTCAGAGACACAGGAAAGGGGAAATTCGCAAGAGGTGTTACTGAGGGGAACGATCAGATCATCAGGTGAATGTGTTTCGTTCAGGTTAACAGGTGATGGAAATAAAGCAAACCGGAAGCTCATTAGTTCCTTTGCTCTTTTTTTCCCCCTTTTATTATTTTTGTGCGTGTGTGCACCGTCAAATCGGATCAGACTGGTACAGGAGATGGCCCCCCCTTGTCCAGCAGAGCATGTGGTGGTTTCGAACCGCATACCTCTGGGATTGCAGTGCAGCTTCTTGCCACTAGGCCACCAGAACTCTCCAGTCTTAAAAGCATCTTAAATGCTAATATATGTGTGCATACTACAGAGGCCTTACTGGCAAGGTAGGTGAAACTCCAAACTGGCTTCTCCGCAATTTGTTTTAAGATGCGATCTCCGCCAGGTTCATCATAGCAGAAAGCTTTGTAACACGGCGGCGGAGGAAAGCCAGCCAGAGGGAATGAACAGCACTGCCCAGCGGCTGTCGCGTCAACACTCCGTGGTTTTTGTCCCAAAACAGGGCCTTAAAATAAGGTCATTGCTCCGAACCCGGCAGAGCCTGGCAAGGAGGCGGGCGGCAGTCCCAGCGGACAGCGAAAGGGCAGCCTCCCCGAAACGGGTCATTCAGTCTTGGCGAGAGCCGAGCCGCAGCCCGCCAGGACCGAAGAACCTGGTCCAGGGCCACCCCGGCCGGCTGCCCCGCCGCCGCGCCCGCCATTGTGCCGCCGGGCCTCCATCCGCACCCGCCGCGCGGTCACGTGGGCAGCGCGGTCACGTGGGCGGCGCGGTCACGTGGGCTCGCGCTCCCCGTAGGCCACCGTAGCGGCGTCGCGCGGACGGAAGCCGGCAGGGCTCGCGCCGCCTCTGCTCAGCGCCTGCTCGGAGCGCCGGCCCGATGGCGGCGGCGATGGCCGAGCAGGAGGGCGCCCGGAACGGCGCCCGGAACCGAGGCGGCGTCCAGCGCGTGGAGGGCAAGCTGCGCGCCAGCGTGGAGAAGGGCGACTACTACGAGGCCCACCAGATGTACCGGACCCTCTTCTTCAGGTACCGAGCCCCCTCGGCTTTCCGCCTCGGCCGCTCGCCCCCGGCCCGCCCCGCGCGCTCCCATTGGCCCCGCCGCAGGTTCTCGCACTCCCATTGGCTGTGCCCCGCGCTCGCCGCTTTCCCATTGGCCCCCTCCACTGCCCGTCCCGGGCTGAGCTGGGCGAGTGGCCGGGGGGGGGGGGCCGCCGGCCAGCCGAGGGGCTCGGGGGCTCGGCGCCTGGGGGTCACGCCGCGTCCGGGGGCCGCCCCTCGCTCACCACCTGGCCCTGGCCTGGCACGACCCCTGCCCGCGTAGGCCGCCCAGGAGCCCGTCTCGGCAGCCTGGGGTCGCGTCTCACCTGCGCGGCCAGGTGGGCGCCGCCGCCACGTGCAGGCCTGGGAGGGGGCGCCGCCTCGTGACGCGCGGCCTGGCTGGCCCGGTGACCGGCCGAGTGACGCACCGGGTGGTCAGGTCGCGGCCCCGGCCACCGCCCTGGGTGTCCGATGGCGGCGCGGCCGGAGCGCCCCGCCGTTCGCCCGAAGGTCCGCCCGCGTCGCCCCCGGCCTCGACCTGGCGGCGCCGCCCTGCCTACAGAGGTCAGCGAGGGCCCGGCGTCCAGTGGGGAGTGGGGACGGCCGCCCCCGCAGTGCTGTGCGGCGCCGGGAGCCCCGGTGGCCGAAGAGCTGGCCTGAAGGCGAAAGTCGGTGGTTCGAGCCCCGGCGCTCCGCGGAGGAGTCCGCTTCCCGGGGCCGGTGCCCGGCGGGGGCAGCACGTGGTGCGGGTGGTGGGTGCTGCTGGGCTGCTAACCTCAGTGCGGGGGTTCGAGCCCGGCCCCGGGGGCGACGGACCTGCGCTCGGAGCCAGACTTCTCCTCCAGGCTGGGGGCGGGGAGTGTGAGAAGTGAGTGTGAGAGAGGGGAGGG